CAGAATAGATTTAAATGAAGATTTAGTCACCTCAGATAAAATTGGTATCATGTGTATGATAATATTGTATCATTTATATTTGCCTTATGTTAACTTTAAGAAATTGATTTTTTTGTATTAATCATTTTCCCATTGCAACAGAGCTATATTTTTTCTATTTTAAGAATCATATTTTAGGATTATTTTTGGCAAATACAGTGAGCACTTATGTAACCAGATGATAATGAACTCAAATGTCATGATAGCTTGCATAAATGGTGACTCTAGTAGATTTGACTTAAGCACTTCTAGAATCATGCACTGAATTCAAAAGAAAAATCTTGCTGCTTTTTATCCGGGGCTTGTTCTATTCAACTTCTAATTTGAAAGCTGTACAAAGTAATAGAAGTTCCATTTAAATATGAGTTCAAAACTGTATTTATAACTTGTTATGTAGCCCTCTCTGTAGGGGATTCTAATTTTACTTAGGGTCTCTAAATGCAGCATAATATGTTCCTGATGTTAACCGAAGACTGTATTTTTAAAGTTACAAATTTGTATATAGAATTAAGTAATGGCGCTATATAAGCTGTTGTGGGGAGGAGGGAAGAAAAGGAGGAACCAATTAAATAGGACCTTCTAAAAATTGTTAATTTTGTAAACTTTGCTTCTCTTATAAGTTATTGTGATTCAGTTTAGTTACTGCATTTTATTTTGAAAATATTTAAATATTGCACTTCTATAAATAGTATGATAAATGCACAGACAATTGCAGTAAATTCTTTTTTAAGCTAGGATATTTGAAATGACAGCCTTTGGTTAAGTGTGTCAAGGTTGCACAGAATTTTCACAATTTTTTTGTTGTTTGCAAATTGTTACTAATATTGAAGAGGGAGGTAAGGGAGGCAATGCAAATGATTTTTAATCTTTTTTTATTATCTTTTCAGCAATTTATATTTTTTGTGACTTTATGCAACCATATTTTTACTTTGTCTTGACAACTGAAAGATGTATAAGGTTTTTTTTTGCCAGAAATGTACTGTATACATAGTTTTAAATATAACAGATTTTACTGATGTGTAAAAATTTTGCCATTAGAATAATTGATTTCTCACTGAGAGGAACTTTTCTACCAGGTTGGGGCATATGGGAGCTTAATATATCATATCTAATTTAAAATAATTTCAGTGAAATAAACTCCATTGCTTTTACTTAACTTTTTCTTGAGATGCTTTTGTAGTTTTTCAGAGTTTTAGATGATTTTATACAAAATCCTCTGCCCAGCACTGCTCTTTTTGATGTTGTAGTGACACCATTCACATTGAATTACTGCTTGGTAGCCTGTGGCTATATGTGGGAACTCCATGCATCTGTGTTCTGACTGGCACCTTTGGAATGAAAGAAAAGTGTGTGCTGTCCAAATCTTTTTTCCCTTAATTCCTTCCCTCCTCTTCCCACCCATAATAGAAATTTTATTTCCACTGTGAGTTCTGACAAGAATGAAATTCCACATACAACGTAACTGTAAATTGTTGGTAGGTAGAAGTTAATATTTGTGGTTCATGTATATTTTGACCAGAGTATATTTACGTATACAATTTCAACTTCCTTGATTTAGAAATATGATATAATAAAGAAAAACTTCATTTATAATCTGTTACAATGTACTTATGTTTTTTAACCTCTGGGAAAACTCAGTGGGAAAAAAAAAAAGGCTAAGTATCTGTGCACCTTTCTTTTTAACAATGTACCAGCCAGGTGCGGTGGCTCACACTTGTAATCCTAGCCCTCTGGGAGGCCGAGGTGGGTGGATCACCTGAGGTCAGGAGTTCAAGACCAGCCTGGTCAACATGGTGAAACCCCGTCTCTACTAAAAACACAAAAATTAGCCAGTGTGGTGGCAGGCGCCTGTAGTCCCACCTACTTGGGAGGCTAAGGCATGAGAATCACTTGAACCTGGGAGGTGGAGGTTGCAGTGGGCTGAGATTGTGCCACTGCACTACCAGTCTGGGCGACAGAGCGAGAATCTGTCTCAAAAAAACCCCACCAAAACAACAACAACAACAAAATGTACCTAGAAATAGAAAATATAGTGCCTGACCACATTTAAGTTCTCAAACATTGTGATTTTTGTCTTGACTACATGAGTCTTGATTTCATCTAAAAACCAACCACTTGAACAAAACATTATGATAGATACAATAAAAGCCAAAGCAACTACCATTTATCAGTTGCTAACACTTGATTTGGTTATAGTCCTACTACTGTTAGAATTCAATTAGTATTAAATATTGTATCCACATGGCATTGTTAGGCAGGGGTTTATGCTAGATTGTTGACACTCTGTTATCTTTAAAACAAAAGAAAACTGCTAAAGAGTGTTATGAATGTATGTAAGGTTTTTTTTAGGGAATGTATAAATTGCCATAGGTATTTACCTTGGCTGTACAAGAATTGTCCAAGAAATTCTTGTTTGAAAAATCAGAATTTTTGAAGTCTTATTGTAAATAAACTTCAATTTACTGTAAATGCCAATAAATTATGACTAAATTTAAAGGATTTTGGCAAGTGATCATGTCTTAAAAAGACAGCATAAGACATATATTAAATATGTTAGGTGAATCAAGATCATAGACCAGTCAGAGTTAGTAGAAAAGTGGTGAGTGAAGTATAAAAACTTAGTGGGAGCTACCCTTAAACATAGTAGTGGAGATCAGGGTTAGGTTACTTGAGAAATTTAGCAAAGACCCCTAGGTAGGGGCACAGCTTCAAGCACCACTTACTCGCTCTGCAAACTCTATTCCTTCTAATGGCTACTATGAACTAATGACACTATGAATGTGACCATAAGATAAATCCTCCTCTGGATGTCTTGTTAGAGAGGTACATGTTTTCTTATTTAAGACTTTCATAGACATACATACAGAACAGTGTACAAATAAGTATTTGGCTTAATGAATTTTCAGTGTTTCAGGTATACAGGAAACATGACCATGTAAACCTCTAGGCAGATTAAGAAACATTGCCACCACCTTAGTGTTTTTCATAATTAATATCAGAAGTAAACGGTCACTTCTGCCTTCTGTAAGTAACACAGACTAACCGTGGTACAACGTAGGAAGGCAGTGCATAAGGATGTGAATGCCAGGAGTGAATGCCATCTTGGAGCCTGGCTACTGCAGTCATGCATTGATCGTTTTCAAATATTACTGGTTCACTTATGCAGCCTGCACAAATATTGACGTATTTAAGCAAACAATGTAAATAAAAGTCACAACTAATAATGACTGATATCACAAAATTCTGGAGATACTGGGAAGCTGCCAAGATCATTATGGTGAATACCATTTTTCCAAAATCATATTTTTTTGCCTAAAGTCTTGAATTTTGTCATTGGCAACAAACTCAATTTATTTTTCTCTTTCCTCCCTCCCTCCTTCTCTCTCTTTTTTCCTTTCCTCTTCCCCTTTCCCTTTCCTTGTTTTTCTTGAAGTTACGGATTCCCTTCGTTCATTTTTCAAGAAAGGTTTGTCAAATACCCAAGTACTCATCTTAGTAAAATTTGTGTTCCAGGAAAAAAAAGTAGTTAATAATGCCATCTCACAATAGCTCTTCTTTGATACATCATACTTCAATATGCAGCAGAAGTACTTTAAGAGGACTTCCAAGTTTTTACAAAGAATATTAAGTGTCAGGGTGGTTATAATAAAGTTAACTTATTATAAAGTAATAAAGTAACTTTATTATGCTGGAGACAGCATTCATTTTTTTTTTTTTTTTTTGAGACCAGGCCTCGCTCTGTCGTCCAGGCGGGAGTGCAGTGGCATGACCTCGGCGCACTGCAGCCTCGACCTCCAAGGCTCAAGGGATCCTCCCAAGCCAGCCTCTGAGTAGTTGGGATTCAGGTGCGCGCCTCCAGGCCTGGCTAATTTTTGTATTTTTGGTAGAGACGGGGTTTCGCCATGTTGGCCAGGCTAGTCTCGAACTCCGGACCTCCCAAAGTGCTAAGATTACAGGCGTGAACCACCGCGCCCGGCCCATTTTTCTTACTGTGAGCGTGTGGTGGTGAAGAAGAGCTCCCGGTACGGTTTGGTGTCATTACTGTAATTCCTGCGGAGGCGCCAGCACCTTGACCTGCTGTTGCTTTTCCACCATCAGTGCAAACGTCAGCACTGTGCAAAGGGCAAATCACGTCTTCATATTAGTATGAAAATAATTTTGGCTTTGAAAGAGTGTCGGTGACCCTCAGGACAATGTTGGTCGACATCAATGGTTCTCAACGGGGCAGGGTGGGAGGGGTGGTTTTTCTTCCAGGGGAAATTTCACTGTCTGGGGAAACCACTGGCTGTCACAACTGACCAGTGGTGGCATCCCGTGGACAGAGACCAGAGATGCTGCTAAGTACCCTACAATGCACAGGACACCCCGTCCCCCAACAAAGCATGATCCAGTTTGAAATGTTAATGGCGCTGAGGCTGAGAAAGCATGACTTCCAAAAACGAGTGTATTGGGCAGGAGAGTTGGATAAATTAACAATCTTGATTACCTTTGTTACATGTGCTCGTTTATTTTCAAGACATGACGCACAGCTACGTTCAGGCCGTAATACTGCCTTCCGGGTCCAACTCATTGTAACTTTCACGTGAAGGCTGCAGTTCAGCCTGGAGCCTCCCTGACTAGCTTCCCCGCCCCGCCGCCTCGAGCCCTTTATAACCGAGTTTTGCCTCGCTGTTCTCTGCGTCTGGCCGACCTCATCAGCTAGGCTATTAGGCAGGAGCATATCCTAATCCTTTGAATCCCGTAAAATCGTTTTCCCCTCACCTTATTCCCCACTGACTGGACGCGACGCTGCGCGGTACCGCTGGGGCGGCTCCTCCTGGTGCGCTCCTCAGCCCGCGCAGCCTCATTTTCCCGCGCTCCTGCGCTGCGGTCACTCGGTGCTGCTGTTAGAGGGCGCGCCCTGCCGCGTGGCCCTGATTACTACAAATCCCAGAAGGTCATGCGGTGGGGGCGGCCGCGGTGACTTCTGGGATTTGTGGTCTCGGAGAAGGGATTGGCGGAGGAGAAAGACAGAGGCGTCTTTCCTTTGCCTGCTTCTGTGGACTGTTCGAACGCCCCGGGGTGGGCCAAACCCGTTTCTTAGGAAACCAGGGATCCAGGGCAGGCAGGTAGGAATTTGGGCGTGATAATTTCTGCTTCCAGTGGGCAAGAATGTAAACACGGGGCCTTGGGAGGTGTTATCAGGTAACTGGGGTTGCCCGGTCGGCGGTGGAAGCTGAAGAAGAGGAGGAAAACGAGGCGAGTGGGTGCTGTGATTAGGGCAGAAAGGACCTTCGGAGTAGGAGTAGAAACCCGACGGGATCCGGTAGAGCCTGTTCGCTAGGGTTGGTCTCCAGGGACAAGCGAGTCTAGGGGTCGGGCCCGCAGTGGCACCTTCGCCAGGCTGCGCGGCCGCAACCTTTCCTGCGCGGTGGGAGGGGCGGGTCGAGCCGGCCGCTCCCCGCTGGAGAGGTGTCTGCGGCCCGGGGCGGTCCGTGCACGCGCAGGTGACGTCCGGGGCAGCCTTTCTGAGCATTTTTATTATTGTTGACCAGTGAAGGGAAAGTCGCTAATACTGGTTTTTCTCTTGCGGTGGCGTTTTTTGGTAAATCGTTTCTTGGATTCCTCACCTCTGAATACCTCCTTCTACCCAGAAGGATGCTGTTGTGATTTCCTGATCTTGTTCATGTAGTGGTTTTTCCCTTTGGGTGCTGCATCCTCAGACAGTCAAGACAAGCTCTCTCCGGCAGCTGGGTAAATGTCAAGCCGTCAACAGTTATTGAGCGCCTACTATAGGGATCATTGTAACAGTACAGGAATTTAGAATACAGCGTCGTTGTTTAGAGTTGTTATGCCATTCCTGAAATATAATGCTGTATGAAAGGTTGAATTTGTCTGGTTTCATGAGTTTAACATGAACATGAAACCGGTGTGATTGTGGTTTACCCACATGGTTTCTTATTCTGGTAAAAAAAATGTTAAGTCTAGGATGTTGGCACCTCGGGCTTCTAACTAGACTTAGGAAACCCTCCTTCATAAGAAGTTTTCATTTCACGTTCAGCTAGTCACAGAGGAACAATAAACTCGTACGGCTTAAGATATCTGAAACAACTGGGAGTGTTAAATTTTCCAATGCAGAAAGTGCTTTGCATGTTCTAGGATTCACACACCTTTTTAAGCCTGGCTAAGTTTTCTTCAAAGCTTAAGTCCTCCAGAAAGCCTCAAGTGTCCCTTCTCTGATGTCATGGCATCCTTTGTTTACTCTCTTGTAGCACTTACCGTGTATTGAAATTGACTGTACTCTGTGGTTTCCAGACACTTTTGAAGAAAATATAAAACTTCGCTAATGGCCTTGATAACAGATTCATGCTTTTACACCGTAGTGGGCCCTTGATACTACTGTTTGGTATCTCTATTTATCCTTTGTTGCTTTTCCTTATCTCTGCAGTGACTATTTTAGATCTTTTCCGTTTTTCTCAAGAACTCAGATATGTTATTTTCCTTTTACTTTGAGCAGATGACTAGCCGCTGTTTGCTGGAGAAATGTGAAGCTTAGGGCATGAAATTCCTCATTTTCCTTTCCCTCCATCCCTGAACTTGCCTGTATGTTTCACTCAATATTAACTCTTCTTTTTGTCTGAGAGGAATGTATTTTTGTCTCCCTCTTTCAGGTTAAACTTGTCGATTGCTAGTGGCATCAGGCCTCCCACACCCTCATTACGTCATTCTGTCCTGGCCTCTGCAGCCTCTGATCTCTAGAAGGTCTCAAGGGATCTGTGGAGGAGAATGACTCAAACACCTGAGGCAACAGTGTGCATGGTTTTTTCACATATGGTTGAGAACCACCACCTTGGGCCTTAACCTGTGCTTGTCCCCAGCATTTGTAACAGTGGTTTGGGTTGGAAGATGGGGAGGGTAATCGGAGTCTGAATGACCTATGAATTTAAAAAAATCTGTAGGTCTGTATCTCACTTTTTCCTTTCCTTCCGACCCTATCACAGCCCCTCATATAATCTACAGATCTGATCAATGATTTTTTTTTTCCTTTGATCAATGATTTTTATTGTAATTTGCCTCCAGTAAACACACTAGGTTTCCTTTAGTATTAGTAGGGTTCCCACAGTGCCTGGTGCCTCACATTATGAATAAAGAAAGTTTCATTTGGAAACTTGAAACCGGAAAACGTGGTCATCATTCTTGTTACCATTAGGGATAATCATAAATACAAGACTTTTTTTTAAATCTTGTCTTACACTGATATCTTGTGAGTCTTTCCTAATGATCTGTATTTTCTCAGGTTGTCCTCACTGTGTGCCTTTTAACTTCTGTTCCATAATATCCACACTTCCCGTTTTCAGCCATCTTCCCCTGTGATACTTATAATCATCTTCAAACATGGGAAACTCATTCTCCTATATTATGATCAGTCTGGGGAGAGAGTTCGCATTGTCCTTATTCCCCAGCATAATTTATAATTCATTAGTCCTCCAGGTTTAAAAAAAAAATCTCAGTTCCTGTGGAAAGCTTGTGGTTCACCTATATCAGCCTGTATATTTCTTTATTTCTTTTTTTTTTTTTTTTGAAATGGAGTTTTGCTCGTGTCGCCCAGGCTGGCGTGCAATGGCACAATCTTGGCTCACTGCAACTTCTACCTCCCAAGTTCAAGTGATTCTCCTGCCTCAGCCTCCCAAGTAGCTGGGATTACAGGCATGCACCACCATGCCCAGCTACTTTTTGTATTTTAGTAGAGACGGGGTTTTACCATGTTAGCCAGGCTTGTCTTGAACTCCTGACCTCAGGTGATCCACCCGCCTCTGCCTCCCAAAGTGCTGGAATTACAGGCGTGAGCCACCGTGCCCAGCCCAGCCTGTATATTTCTTGATTGCTGTGATTTATTGGCTCTCTCATATTCATTAAGAACTCAGACATATGACTCACAATTTTCCTACCCCTCCAAATTCTGCCATTATCGTAGGTCTTTCCATGTGAATGACCTCACAGCCACTCTCACTTTTCTTCTCACCTTCCTTCTAGTGATTACAGGGATCATTTTATTGTGCTTCACTTTATCGCACTTCATAGAGACTGCGTTTTTGCACATTGCAACTGTACAGTAACCCTGTGTCGAGCAAGTCTTTTCGTGCTATTTGTCCAATAGCATGTGTGCACTTAGTGTCTCTGTGCTACGTTTTGGTAATTCTTGAACTATTTCAGACTTTTTAATTATTACTATATCTGTTATGGTGATTTGTAATCGATGATCTTTGGTGTTAACAGTCGTAATCATTTTGGGCTGCCATGAACCATGCCCATATGAGATGGTGAACTTAATAAATGTGTGTTTTAAATGCTGTACCACCAACTGGCTATTCCCATCTCTCTTCTTCTCCTTGCGTCTCCCTGTTTCCTGAGACACAACAATATTGAAATTAGGCCAGTTAATCCTACAATGCCCTCTAAGTGTTCAAGTGAAAGGAAGAGTTACACATCTCTCATTTTAAATCAAAAGCTAGAAATGATTTTAGGAAGACATGTTGAAAGCCAATGCAGGATGAAAACTAGGCCTGTTGCACCAAACAGCCAAGTGGTGAATGCAAAGGACAAGTTCTTCAATGAAATTGAAAGTGCTGCTTCAGTAAACACACAAATGATAAGAAAGCAAAAACAGCTTTATTGCTAATATGGAGAAGCTCTGAGTGGTCTAGGTAGATCAGACCAGCCACAGTATTCCCTTAAGCAGGAGCCTAATTTAGAGGAAGTTTCTAACTCTTTTCAATTCTGTGAATGCTGAGGGAGGTGAAGAAGCTGCCAGAGTAAAGTTTGAAACTACTAGAGGTTCGTTTATGAGGTTTAAGAAGCCATTTTCATAACATGAAAGTGCAGAGTAAAGCAGCACATGCTGATGTTATCCACAAAAGATCTAGCTAAGATAATTGATGAAGTTGGCTACATTAAATGAGATTTTCTTTTTTTTCTTTTTTCTTTTGAGACGGAGTCTTGCTCTGTTGTCCAGGCTGGAGTGCAATGGCCATGATCTTGACTCACTGCAACCTCCACCTCCTGGGTTCAGGCAATTCTCCTGCCTTACCCTCCCCGGTAGCTGGGGCTACAGGCGTGCGCCACCCACGCCCAGCTAATTTTTGTATTTTTAGTAGAGACAGGGCTACACCATGTTGGCCAGGATGATCTTGATCTCTTGACCTTGTGAGCCTCCCACCTTGGCCCCCAAAGTGCTGAGATTACAGGTGTGAGCCACTGTGCCCGGCCACAAGATTTTCAGTGTAGATGACACAGCTTTCTATTGGAAGAATATACTCTCCAGGGCTTTCATAGCTGCAGAGAAGTCAATGTTTGGCTTTAAAGCATCAGAAGACAGGCTGACTCCTTAAATTGAAGTCAGTGTCTATTTACCATTCTCAAAATCCTATTGTCCTTGAGAATTATGCTAAATGTACTTTGCCTATGTTCTATAGATGGAACAACAAAGCCTGGGTGATGGCACATCTGTTTACAGCATGGTTTACTGAATATTTTAAGCCCACTGTTGAGACCTGCTCGTGAAGAAAAGATTCCTTTCAAAATATTACTCATTGACAGTGCACCCTGTCATCTAAGAGTTCTAATGGAGATGTACAAGATGAATGTTGTTTTCATGCCTGTTAACACAGCATCTTTTCTGCAGTCCATGGATCAAGGAGTAATTTTCACTTTCAAGTGTTACTATTTAAGAAATACATTTTGTAAGGCTGTAGCTGTCATAGATAGTGATTCTTCTGCTTCATTTGGGCAAAGTCAATTGATAACTTTCTGGAAAGGATTCTAATTCTAGATAACCATTAATAATATTTGTGATTCATGGGAGGTGGTCAAAATATCAACATCAACAGGAATTTGGAAGAAGTTGATTACAACCTTCATGGATAACTTTTGGGGGTTCAAGACTTCAGTGCAGGAAATAACTGCAGATGTGGTGGAAATAGTAAGAGAACTCAAATTAGAAGTGGAGCCTGAAGATGTGACTGAATTCCTGCAATCTCATGATAAAATTTGAAAGGATGAGGAGTTGCTTCTTGGGGATGAGCAAAAAAAGTGGTTTCTTGAGATGGAATCTACTCCTGGTGAAGATGCTGTTAACATTGTTGAAATGACAACAAAGGATTTAGAGTACATTATATAAACTTAGTTGATAAAGCAATGGCAGGGTTTGACAGTATCAAGTCCAATTTTGAAAGAAGTTCTACTGTGGGTAAAATGCTACCAAATAGGATTGCATGCTACAGAAAAATTTTTTATGAAAGGGAGAGTCAGTCGATGCAGCAAACTTCATTGTTGTCTTTTTTTTTTTTGAGACAAAGCCTTACCCTGTTGCCCAGTGTGCCAGGGTGGAGTCCAGTGGCATGATCATGGCTCACTGCAGCCTTAACCTCCTGGGCTCAGGTGATCCTCCTGCCTCAATCTCCTGAGTAGGTGGGACTACAGATGTGTACCACCACGCCTGACTAGTTTTTACAAATTTTTTGTAGAGATGAGGTTTTGCTGGTCTCAAGCTCCTGGGCTCAAGACCTCTACCTGCCTTAGCCTCCCAAAGTGCTAGGATTACAGGCGTGAGCCAACATGCCTGACCACTGTTGTCTTATTTTAAGAAATTGTCACAGCCACCCCAGCCTTCAGTAGCCACCACCCTGATCAGTCAGCAGCCATCAACATTGAGGAAAAACTCTCCACCAGTAAAAAGATTAGGACTTGCTGAAGGTTCAGATGATCATTGGCATTTCTCAGCAATAAAATGTTTTTAAATGAAGACATGTACTTTTTTTTTTTTTTTTTTTTTTTTTGAGAGGAGTTTCACGTTCTGCTCGCTGTCAGGCCTGGAATGCAGTGGTGCCCCAATCTCGGCTCACTGCAAGCCTGCTGCCTCCTGAGTTCAAGGATTCACCTGCCCTCAGGCCTCTTGAGTCATCTGGGATTACAGGCACATGCCCACCACGCCCGGATAATTTTTGTATTTTTTAGTAGAGACGGGATTTCACCCATGTGTGGTCAGGCTGGTCTCGAACTCCTGAGCTGTGAGCGGGTTGTCGATGCGTGGCGGAGCGCGCCGCGCCGTTAGCCGTCCGCCAAGTGCAGGGATTGCAGGCCATGAGCCCACTGTGGGCCTAGCAAGGCATGTAACATTTTTAAAGAGCTGATGCTGTAACACCTTAAATAGACTAATAGTGGTAGGTGGTAAATGTAACGTTTTATATGACCATAGGGAAGCCAGAGCAGTGTCTGTGACCCTACTTTTGGTATTTATTCACTTTATGGTGTCAAGTGGTCTGGAACTGACTGTGCAAACGCAACTCGTGGAGATAGGCTGTGTGCTTATATAGTCACTTTCAGCCATGTGGCATCAGTGGATGAGGACTTGAAACCTGCTCAAACTTATACACACTATTTCAATTCTCTCGTCCCTCCATACTCCACAATGCCCATTCCTTTGGTAGTTCATAAAGCCCTCTGATTCGTTATTTTCTTTTTTTTTTTTTTTTTTTGGGACGGGTCTCGCTCTGGTAGCCCAGGGCTGGAGTGGAGTGGCCGGATCTCAGCTCACTGCAAGCTCCGCCTCCCGGGTTCCGCCATTCTCGTGCTCAGCCTCCCGAGTAGCTGGGACTATGTAGGAGCCGCCACCTCGGCCCGCTTAGTTTTTGTATTTCTAGTAGACACGGGTTCACCGTGTTAAGCCCATGTATGGGTCTCGATCTCCTGACCTCGTGATCCGCCCGCCTCGGCCTCCCAAAGTGCTGGGATTACAGGCTTGAGCCACCGCGCCCAGCCGATTCGTTACTTTTCTTTATGTTTTTGGTTCATTGCTTTTTTTCTCTATTTCTCTAGTTGATCATTTGATCCAAATCTCCTTGTGGTTATAGACTCTTTTAAGAATGGAATGAAACCTTAAACACTATTCTCCAAAATGTACACAGATACAAAGAATTTTATACAATTAATGTACAGTTCCCGGTGTTTCTCAGTATCTTGAAGACCATCTATACAACTAGTAAATTTTTGGATCCCTCAGTTAATCTCTTCTCTAAATAAATATTTGTTGAATTATTTCAGGATTTCCGTTAACTTTGTTTTATCGTTTATCCTGTCTTTATTTCTTACATTTGTATATCATTGCAGGTTTACCAAGAAGTTCAGCATCTGTTATTTATTTATTTATTTTTTTGAGATGCAGTTTTGCTCTGTTGCCCAGGCTCGCTGCAACCTCTGCCTCCCGGGTTCAAGCAATTCTCCTGCCTCAGCCTCCCAAGTAGCTGGGATTATAGGCATGTACCACCACGCCTGGCTAATTTTTGTATTTTTAGTAGAGATGGGGTTTCATCATGTTGGCCACGCTGGTCTCAAACTCCTGACCTCAAATGATCATTGGCCTTGGCCTTCCAAAGTGCTGGGATTACAGACGTGAGCCACCATGCCCAGTCAGCATCTGTTATTTTAAAATTTACCCAATAATTTTGTGAGTTAAGTCATTTACCAAGTTTGAATCTTTTAAAACCTTTTTATTTTGGAAAGTTTTAACACATATGAAAGGAAAAAGTACAATGACTACTTTGTACTCATCACTCAATTTCATTAGTTATCAATTAAAGGCAATCTAACTTCATCTATATTTTCTCTTCCATTGTACTCCCAACCTCCACTGATTACTTGGAAACAATTCCTAGATGTCTTATAAGTTCATATGAAATATTTCAGTTTGTATTTCTAAAAGCTAAGGGTTCTTTTTTTAAGCGTAATTACAATACTATTATCACACCAAAGACATAATAGCCGTAATTTACCAAGTGCGGTGGCTCACACCTATAATCCCAGCAATTTGGGAGGCTGAGGTAGGTGGATTACCTGAGGTCAGGAGTTCAAGACCAGCCTCACCAACATAGCGAAACCCCATCTCTACTAAAAATACAAAATTAGCCGGGCGTGGTGGCACATGCCTGTAATCTCAGCTGCTCTGGAGGCTAAGGCAGGAGAATCGCTTGAACCTGGAAGGCAGAGGTTGCAATAAGCTGAGGTTGCACCACTGCACTCCAGCTGGGTGAACGAGTGAAACTCCATCTCAAAAAAAAAAAAAAAAAAAGTAGCAGTAATTCCTTAATATCATCAAATATCAAATCAGTGTTCCCGTTCCTCCTTTTTCATAAATGTTTCTTTCTGGCTGGGTGTGGTGGCTCACGCCTGTAATCCCAGCACTTTGGGAGGCTGACGCGGGTGGATCTCCTAAGGTCAGGAGTTTGAGACCAGCTTGGCTAACATGGTGAAATCCTGTTTCTACTAAAAATACAAAAAATTACCCGGGCATGGTGGCACCTCCCTTCTTTCTCTTCTTTCTTTCCTGGCAGTTTATTTCTTGAAGAAACCAGCTTTATTTTCCTTTAGTTTCTGTTTTTTGCTATCTGCATCTCTGGTGTGTTATTGAACATGCTTCACTTTATCCCATATTTCTTATAAAATGGTAGAGGCCTGATCTGACTCAGTGTTAATTTTTGTAGGAGTACTTACTTCATGAGTGGCATGCTACCTCCATGAGGAGGTATGTGATGTCCAGTTGTCTTTCTTAGTGATGTTAGTGGCCATTGATGATTATTGCCTACAGCCACTAATTAGGGTTGAAAAATGGTGATAGCCTAATCCTGTTATTTCCTCTTTACCTATTGGTTGGAATACTTCCATAAAAGACCAAGTTTTGGGCCAGGCGCGGTGGCTCACACTTGTAATCCCAGCACTTTGGGAGGCCGAGGTGGGTAGATTACCCGAGGTCGGGAGTTCGAGACCAGCCTGGTCAACATGGAGAAAACCCGTCTCTAGCAAAAATACAAAAATCAACTGGCGTGGGTGGTGTATGTGTGTAATCCCAGCTACTTGGGAGGCTGAGGCAGAAGAATCGCTTGAACCCGGGAGGCGGAGGTTGCGGTGAGCTAAGATCATGCTACTGCACTCCAGCCTGGGCCACAAGAGTGAGACTCCATCTAAAAAAAAAAAAAAGAGAACCAAGTTTGAATTTTAAAGCTGTTTCTTTTTAATTTTCCAGAATGGCTTCCTTTGGGTGGAAGAGGAAAATTGGTGAGAAGGTCTCAAAGGTCACTTCCCAGCAATTTGAAGCTGAAGCTGCTGATGAGAAGGATGTAGTGGACAACGATGAAGGAAACTGGCTTCATGCCATTAAACGTAGGAAAGAAATTCTTCTTGAAGGCTGTGCTGAGAAAAGTAAACAGCTGAAGGACGAAGGAGCCAGTTTGGCTGAAAATAAAAGGTATGTATTTAAAGTTGTTTTTTTTTTTTTTTTTAATGGAGAACAGCTTACATTTTCTAGCTCAGTGTCAGTAATGGGATGAAGAGTTATGAATTTGATAAATTCATGTTTTTAAAATCTATTTTAGGTGCTAAATTAGTCAAAGAAATAAAGTATTTCAAAGTCATCTGAAAAATGAGAGTTTGTAAAATAGTTTTCAGGATGTAATGAAAGTTTGTAAAATAGTTTTCAGGATGCTAATTATGTCCCTGCTTTGCCGTCATTTTTGTTGTGCCTAAAGAAGAGTAAATGCTAAGTAAAATGTAATTCAAGTGATTGGTCAGTAAAAGGTGGTCTTATCGCTGGAAACTTTCTGCTTATGACATTATGTATCAGGTAAATTAGGCATTTCCTGAATAGCTTTGAGGGCATGTACATTAAAAAAACAGGTATTTAGTTATTCTTTGCCATTTACTTATTATATACTTGAATAAATATGACTTACTGTATAGGAATTTGATAATAGCTTCATTTATTTTTAGCCCTTCCTTACCTAAGTTGTTCCTATATGTACCCATTTCTTTTTTCCTTTCCTCTTTTTCTTACTTTTTTATTCCTTTTCTCCTTTTTCTGCTTAGATTTTTTTAAGAGGGACCAAAAATCATTTTTCATTAGTCAGTGAGGAAAAGACACATTTTTCGTAGATTCTGTTGAGAAAACTGGATTACTACATAGAGGAAAATAAAACTGGATCTGTATCTAATACCATGTACAAAGATGGACCCTGGAGGGATTAAAAATTTGTGAAAGGTAAAACTATGTAGTTAATAGAAGAAAATATAGAATGGTATCTCTATAATCTATGGTGGAAAAGGCCTTTTTTATTTTGAAAAAATTTCAAATCTATATTAAAGAATAGTATAATTGGCTGGGTGTGGTGGCTTATACTAGTAATCCCAGCACTTTGGAAGGCCAAGGTGGGAGATTTGCTTGAGCCCAGGAGTTCGAGGATGTGGTGAGCTATGATCTTGCCACTGCACTCCACCCTGGGCAACAGAGTGAGACCCTGTCAAATAAATAAATAAATAGTTTATCTAGTATGATTCCAGTTCCAGTTTTAAAAAATTCTGGCTGTGTGTGGTGGCTTGTGTCTGTAATTTTTGTGCTTTAAGAGGCCGAGGCAGGAAAATTGCTTGAGCCCAGGGGTTGAGCCTACGGTGAGTTGTGACTCTGCTGTTGTGCTCCAGCTTGGGTGACAGAGTGAGACACTGTCTCCAAAACAAAACAAAAGAATAGGACAATCACATATTTCCTCTATCTAGACTCAACAATTCTTAATATTTGCTTTATCCCTGTCTTTCTACACATGCATACACACACACATACACAGGCATACATAATTGCATATTTACAGGGTTTTTTTGCTGCTCTGTTTGAAAGTAAGTTTCAGACATTACGACACCTACTCCTAATTCCTCACGTTTCTTCTAAGAATAAGGGTGTTATCTAACGTATTTTTACCTAACCTAAGAAAATTAACAATTTTATATCTAATATTAGTTCCTGTTTAGGTTTTTCCAGTTTTCCCCCAAATGTCTTTTACAGTATATGTTTTTAAAACCAGGATCTAAGGAGTTCACACATTATATTTGGTTATTATGTCTCTTTGGTGTCTTTTGACGTCCTTGGGTTTTCTACTTTTATCCCCCATGACATTGACTGATGGAAGAGTCCACACCAATTTTCTGTTTGATTGTTTCCTTGTGTGTGTCGTTTAATTTGTTCCTTTATCTCATGTGTTTCTTGTAAATGAAAGTTAGGTGTAGAGATTAAATTTAGAGTCTAAATATTTTTGGCAAGTATATGTCATAGGTAACATTTGTGCTTTATACTGCATCATATTGGGAGATAAATAACATTATATTGCCCTCTTTATTAGTGCAGCCATTAGAAAGACATTGTGCCTATGTCTGTCTCTTTGCTCTGTTTGGTATCTGTTGAGAGCCATATTTTTATAAAAATCTTAAAGCATTGTCCTCTGCGAAGAAAATATATTAGAAAAATTACACTTGACAGTATGAGAATTGTTGATTTGAATAAATACATGATTTTTAGAAGATGTATATATGACCAGCAGGAATAGTAGCCTAACAGGCCTTTGGTTGGGACAGAATACACTTCAGATCATCCAGAAATCTAAAATCAGGCCTGTGTGCCTTTGACTGGTATCTTCCATGTGGTGTTGAAGAGTTTGAGAATTTAAAAGAAAATGAAGTAATACTAAGCAAGAAGCACTTTTTTCTTTGTTCCTTAAAAACAAAACGAAACTGGTAAGAGTGGTGATAAGATTTCTTGTTAATAATTTTTGTAAAAATGAATCAAAGTTGAGGAACCAACATGTTAGCTTTTAGGTCTGTTTTATTTTTGATTCTGGTGTAGTCTTTTATTATATTTTAATATAAAACTTAAAATGGTGCTTAAGGTATGAAATACTAGCATCTCAAATTGGGAATAAAGGGTGGAAAATAAATAACAATCAAGATCTATTAACTTAACTACCTAATGTTAGGTTGTGAATTCTCATTTGTGGTATTTTAGGCATAAAGATTTTTATCTTACAGAACTGTGTAAGATTGACTAGTGTGTCTTAGAAGAAAACCAAATGTAAATCCTTAATTGTGAATACTTTGAGTACATCCATAAAACATCTTTAGAAACTCCTGTAAATGCCTGTTAAAAGTTCATTAACTTTGCTGTTTTCCTGGACTACACTAATGTGTGGAAGGAAAAGCTATTCTGTTATTGCCATTGGATTCCCTCTGAATTTCCTGTGACAGAGAAGAGATATCAGCATTGTAGACAAGCACAATAACTTTTGTTTTCTGCCTGTATGTTGAAAGATTGAGTCACTTCACTAAAACCAGTAGGATTGGATGCTTTGTTTTGGGTTAAGTTTTTTGCTCTTTAGCATTTATTTTTGAGTAATGTATATACTGCTTTAGAAAATAACTAAAAAGATATATATTTTTTTGAGGTGGAGTCTTGCTCTGTCGCCCAGGCTGGAGTGCAGTGGCGTGATCTTGGCTCACTGCAACCTCCTCCTCCTAGGTTTAAGCAATTCTTCCTACCTCAGCCTCCCTAGTAGCTGGGATTACAAGTGTGTGCCACCACACCCAGCTAATTTTTGTGTTCTTAATACAGATGGGATTTCGCCATGTTGGCCAGGCTGGTCTCGAACTCCTGACCTCAAGTGATCTTCCTGCCTCGGCCTCCCAAAGTGCTGACATTACAGGTGTGAGCCACCGTGCCCAGCCAAAAAATATTTAACAGGCTAGTAAACTTGACTGAAAGTAATATAAGGAAGAATAATTAAATTAGATTTAAGAAAGACTGAGTCCCTGCCTACCAAATCAACTTCATCTTAAACTGTGCTTATTTTCACTACATTTTAGCCAGATGGGCCTTCTTCATTTTTTTGAACATAGTTATTGTACAACTTTGTGTTATGACTCTGTCTGAAAACCGTTTTTCTCTGGTTTTCTGATGCCTGTCTTCCTGTCCTTTGGATTTCTGCTCTTTTGTCATTTTCTCAGCAGTTCCGTCTTTGATTACCAAGTCTGAGGTAACATCCCTTACTCACCCTTTTTCTATTACATCAGCCCATTTTGTTTTTTAGCATTTCTCCCTTTTTGAAGTTACTGTATACACTTAATTTAGTGTGTTTAGTGTATTTTGTTTATATGTTGTTTTTCTTCTGTAGGAATGTAAGCTCCAGGATAGTAAGGAATTTATCTAACTTGTATAGTGTCTTCAGCTCTTAGAATAATTTGTGGTACTTACTAGGCCCTCAGTAAATATTTATAAAGCTGTGATTTTTTTTGACTATATTATGGCTAAAAAGGTTTTTGTAAGCTAGCTACCATTTACTGCATGATATCTATAGAATATACATTTAAGAACTCCAAATTAGAATATAGTATTCTGAGAATATATTTTATTTCATACCCAAACCACAAAGGGCCTTTGGGAGTAAAATTTTCTCACCCTCCTCCTGAATGAGAATATGGCACTTGATAGGAATTGCTCTATTCTGGGTCTTATTCTTTTTCTCTTTGTTTTTAGTTTCACAAGGATGGCAGAATTCTTTTTCTCATAACTCTTACTCTTCCCATTCCCCTGTTGTGTTGTGTACAGAAGGCTTTGTTTGTACAATAGGAAAATAACAACAGATTTTACAATGTAGTAATTATGGTCTGGGCATTAGTGCCAGATGGCCTTGTTTCTTATACTAGGTCTGCTGTTGACTAGCTTTGCAATGTTAGGCAAATTATTCAGCCTCTCTGTGTTTAAGTTTCCTTTTCTGCAAAAAATATCTACCTCATAACGCTGTTGTGATGATGACATGAATTTACATATGTAATGTACTTAATATATTGCCTGCCACATAGTAAATACTCAGCAAATATTAGTTATTATTATTATTACTATTATAATGGTCCTAATTATTCTGTGTCCTTGATTGGCTATATATTTCTTCACTTGCAGTTGCCTCATGGGGTTCTTATAAGGCTGAAATCCAATAACGGACACAAAAATACTTTAAAAATTAGGCATAGATTTCTACTGACAGCCATGAGAGAGTTTCTAGAACTAGACCTGGATGGCCCCAAACAACTAGAAAATTGGACAAAAGATATTAAAAAACTGTTTTCAACCATTGGACAATAGTCAGCATAGGACTCATCTTTGAGAGAAGGGGCAAAAACAAGATGATCCCTATGAGCTTCCTTAATTTCTTTTTTTTCTTTTTTTTTGAAACAGAGTCTCGCTCTGTTGGCCAGGCTGGAGTGCAGTAGCATAATCTCGGCTCACTGCAACCTCTGTCTCCCAGGCTTAAGTGGTTCTCCTGCCTCAGTCTCCCGAGTAGCTGGGATTACAAGTGTGTGCCACCACGCCTGGCTCATTTTTGTATTTTTAGTAGAGATGGGGTTTTACCGTATTGGTCAGGCTGGTCTTGAACT